TCTCACTGTCTCACTGTTTTGTTTTTTTTTGCTCGGTTCTTTCTCTCTGCTGCAGTCGACTCCCGCACCGTCAAGGGAAAAGCGGGTCCCGACAAGGCTCGTTCTCCTTGTATCGGGGAGGCTTAGAGCTGGGTGCAAAGGCCAGCTTTGTCTGCTTCGCCCTTCCAGGGCATTCTTGTGCCATCCACGGTTGCACTTTGCCTCCTGTCATCTTGGAGACTTTGAAGCACTTCTGACATTCAAGCCACTGACCCCTCTGCATCAGCTGGTGCTGGGGGTGGACTCTCATGCGCAGATTGAGGTCCTGCTCTGTCACTGCGGCATATTGGCAGGGTTCATTTGCCAGCCTGTGGAGAGTCTCCTTACCACATCTGCGAGCAACCTTGATCCAACATCGGCTGCATCCAAAGGAGCTGGCTCGCAGATACCAACGGTGCCCTGGCTGGTGATCCTGTTGCAGGGACGAAGCATTGAGCATGTCCTCCATGATATTTGTCAAAGTCTTGACCTTCTCGCCGGGGCACACCGTGGCTGCCTTGGCCTCAATCTCAGCATGCGTTGAGCAGCTCTTGATGTGAAGGCCGCACAACAGGCACAGCAGTCCTTGGCCCTTCAACTGCCATTGGTGCTCACCAGGGCCATTGTCTTTTTGACTCATCCTGCGGAGCACATCCAAGCGCCCCCGCGGTCTCTCTGGCTGTACCTTGTAGGGTGCAACCACTGGCTCCACATGCCCATTCATGTAGTGCTCCGGATCAGTGAGGAGGGTTCCAACTCGATGCGCTGCTGCCTCATACACCTCCTGGTACCACTTGTCATCTTCCTGGAGCTGAAGTTCAAGCTGTCTCACTGTCTCACTGTCTCTCTCTCTCTCTCTCTCATCTCTCTCATCTCTCTCATCTCTCTCATCTCTTTCTCATCTCTCTCATCTCTCTCTCTCTTCTCTCTCTCTCTCCTCTCTGTCTCTCGTCTTTCCGTCTCTCTTCTCTCTCTTCTCTCGCAGGAGGATCCGGGCAAAGAGCCACATATAAAGGACTCTTCACCCCTGCCTCCAAAAAGAGCGCCGTGTTTTTTCCTACCTCGCTGCCCTCCACTTTCCCATTCTGGAGCGCTAGCTTTCGCCCCCCCCCTTGGCCTCAAGTCTCTCCACTTTGGGCACGCTCTCCGCAACCGAGAATCTCCATGACCCGTTCACGTCACATGTTTCACATGTTCATGCCGTGTGGACATCTAGCTGAAGCCACTAAGCTACTAGCTACTAGCAGGAAACCTACGTAACACTTCACACCGCACGCTTACCGGATAACTCGCACTCTGACTTCCTACGTGATGAAAAATGCATTCGGGCCACTCGTCGTCTAGTTTTCTTTTGTGTTGCTCACCGAGGGCCGTCTTTTTGTCCTTGTTTCTCTTCAAGACACTTATCCAGATCCACTCATCCATCTACAGTTTGCCTTCTTTTGTGCCTAGTGCCAAATATCTTTACACTGTGGGGGTGGCATGTTTGTGAGCTCAAACAAGCATAAACATGCACTGCACGCCTTTGCAGGCCCAGTGTTCACTCGGCACCATCTATGTTCCAGGCCAGGGCTTTGCATTTCCCTTAGTTCGCTCAAGAAGACAGAGAATAGTAAGCTGCTTCACAAGGCGGCGGCGATGTGGCTGATCCTTGGCAGAAGTTGAACAAAACGATGCCAGGTATGCTAGGTATGGATTTATTGACATAGTTCACCGTGATCATACTCTTTCGGTTTTTTCAGGGTAGCACAGTTTTTCCATGAGCCGAAGGTCCCTTTCGATTGTACGCTGCACTTGCACCACTGGAAGAGCCGATGGAGCCACACCAAGCGGCGCTGGTGCTGTGAGCATTCTCAAGAGGGCCAGATCGCTTGCGGAGCGGAGGAGGGTCCAAATGGTCCATTGCAGCGAAACGTTTCTTTCTTAAGGCCCGGAGAGGTAAGTAAGCAAGTAAGTAAGTAAGAAAGAAAGAAACGGGTACTGTAACTACTTGGCTAACAAGAAGCTTCGCAGGCTAGGACGCAAGAAAGCCAATGATTGGGTTCCTAGATTTTGAAGGGACACTTTGACTGTTGGTGTTTAAGCGCATATTTTTTCTGAACCGTCTGCGCTTTGGCGCAGTGTGTGACTCCATCAGACTTCATTTACTTCGGAGGACAGTTCCAGCGTCTCGGGTCATCTTCGTGAATGCCCCAAGCACGTGAGAACGTCATGTCGGAAGCCCAGGCTTCCGAGTCCAAGGGCCTCAAAGGTCGCTTCAATTTCCCACATTTTGTTGGCTTCTTCCCATTTGGGTGTTCGAGAAAAGCAAATACCCCAGTCCAAGCATTCATTTTTGACCCACAACCCCAATTGCCCAAGAATGATTTGGTTCTCATATTCGTTTTTGACGGGGCAAGATCGACATTGACATTGAAGCAAGGTTCCAAAAAACCTATATGCAGCATGGATCTCAAGTTCCATAGGCACTTTACCCGTCCTTTTTTCTTCAACCGTGCTATGCCGCTGGCACTGATGATTTCCTGTCTTCTCGCCAGCTTCAGTACTCTTGCAGTATGTGACGATAGTCTTGAGACATGTGGCGCTGGTTGCACCTTGAGTGCAGGTAGCCGTGGCTTGTTGCAGATTGAAAAGACCATGGGCAACCAGAAAGAGACAACCACCAGCACCACGTGGGCCAGCCCATACTACATGATGACATGTCCTGGGACCCAGGCGATGACGACACAGTCGATGACAGAGGCTGACTATGACAATATCACCGCGGAGATTCAAGCCCTCTACAACTCCCTACCAAGCGCGCTGAACTGCATGTTAGACAGCTCGCTTGCGCGTTGGGTTGGGTTGGGGGGTTCTCTCTATGAAGTTCACCTCTAGAATTCACCTCTGCATGGCGGGAGTCACCCGGTTGTTCTTGAGGATGTCAGGTCGAAGACCGGAGTTCGTTTCCGGTTTTGGTTCTTATCGACTTAATTATACTTCTTTTTTCGTGGCCCTTCTGAACCAGATCTCACGCCCATGAGGCACCTGCACGCCAACTGAATGTCCACAAGCTGACTGGGCCGGGTGTGTTTTGCGGATGGCTGGTCACGACTTTATGGATTACAAGGATGGCCAGGGAGGTGCAGATGGCTGTGTGGACCTGACGGATGCGGACAACTTGGGCCTCGCGGAGTGCCTCTTTACAGGTGAATTTGGCATTTCGATTGCGGACGCCTACCAGCATTTCTGCCAGTCCGTGTCCTTGGCCGACTTTTTGGTGATTGCAGCTGAAGCAGTGATGAGTGCATCTCGTCAGCATGTCACCTTGGAAGATAGCAGTCGATCCACCATTGACTTCAAGTCCAGCTTCAAGTTTGGCCGCACCACTGCCAAGACTTGTGAATGGGCCCATGGCAGGCTGCCGAACCCGGAGAATAGCTGCTCGGCCGTACAGGAGACCTTTGTGGAGAGTATGGGCCTCACTTGGGGCCAAGCAGCAGCCCTAATGGGAGTTCACACTCTCGGTAGGGCACAGATAGCAAATTCAGGCTACAACGGTTGGTGGAGCTCAGCTCTCATGAGTCGAAAGTTTAACAATGACTACTACGTGTCTATCTTGGCCAAAGGCTGGGGACCAGAAGTGGCCGTTGCAGGCAATGCACAGAAGAATCAATGGAAACGAGTAGATGCTGGAGCCAATGAGACTGGCCTGGGGAAAGAGATGATGCTGAACACTGACCTATGTTTGGCTTTCACAATGGACGATGCGGGCACTGTTGAGCTTGATGCAGCCACTGCTGCCAGTGCTGAATGCAAGTGTACCTGGGGTGTTCCGGTGGCAGTCTCTACTGCCACCACCAAGTATGAAGAGGGGCGCTTTTGTGGCAGCACCAACATCCCTGGAAGCAGCAATTTCCGGCAGCAACGGGCCATTTGCTGTGGAGAAGAGTTTGATGGTCGCTCTGATGCCGCCATTGATTGTGGGCTCCCCATTGATCCGAAGGGTCCGGCATATGAGTCCATCAAGAAGTTCGCCAACAACGAGGATGCGTGGCTCAGAGTCTTCAAGGCAGCGTGGCGCACCGCCACGGGCAATGGCTTCTCACTTCGACGACTTCGGTCATGAGTCCCTTTTGCCACGGAAACGGAGTCGGGTGGTTTTTTTTTGAACGGCCACCTTGTGGTGATGTAATGTCACTTGTAAGCGGATGAAGAGCCGCAGAAAAAGGCCTTTCTCCTTGAAGCAAAGCAGGTTCTCATGCATGCCAAGGTTGTATGTATGCAGTAAACAATGGCAGAAGCACCGGTTTGAAACTTGTTCCAAGGCCCAGAGGAGTGGAGTGATCCAAGAACGAAACTTGGAGGCTTCTACTGTGCCTTGGCTGAAACTTTACCACCTTCGTTATTTTCAGATCCGAATCTTGTTACAGAGAAGACGAAGACAGATCTTGTCCTTCAGAGATCTTGTCCCATTGGATGGCCCGAACGTGTCGCCCGAACGACTGTCTAATGTCCTCAGGTTATGGTGATGGGTCAACTCAGGGTGGCTGCCGTGAAGCATTGCACGGACCGTTTCCAGTAGAAGATTGCAAGGCACGCCTTTTGTGTGTTTGGGGCTTTTTGTTTGTTCATTGCAGTTTTCTCATCACTACTGTTTTTTGGGGGGGCCACCCGAAGCCTGAATCAAGTTGCTGTGTTTGGAGGAGCAATGCTATATTGGAGAGGCCAGAATTGGAGGCCAGGATTGGTTGAGCTCACAAAAGCGCGTTCCGCATGCCCAGGTCAGACTTTTCGCACAGATGCTATTGTTTTCAGCCCATGCGTTCTTTATTGACTGTTGTTCCGCTGCACGGCATTGCAGGCTTCTTGCCAACACCCGTCCTTGCCCCAAAAGCCCGTTTCATTGCATCACATGCTGTTCGAGTGGAGAACATGGGTCCGGTACCGGCTCCTTTGGCCACTCCACACGAATTCCACAATGGTGAAGTTAAAAAACGGGCATACACATTTGCTACTGGTTTTGTAGAATGTGTAAGAGTGTTTGTGAAGATCTTCCTTGCTTAGTTGATGAGGTGCTCTATGACTGCCAACGCCATCTTGATCATTGGGATTCCCATTGGTCGAAGGAGGGGTATGTAATACTTGAGACCATGACCCAAGCGGACTAGCGGAGAATACTGACGCAGGAGAAGCAGTATTGGTGCTGCACGCATGATCGCTTTGCACGTCAAGTATGTGGGCATATTTCGGCCAAAGCCTTACTTCTCTTTCAGTCAAAGCAACCAAGTAGAATCGAATTCACTCAAGTCCAAGTTAATTATTCCTAAAGCCTTTGCGCCGAGGTGAGTCACAAAATGGTGACATCATGTGATGCAACTACTGCTGGCGGCATTCCTTGCGATTTCCCCTATGAATGGGGTGGCAAGAAGCCACTTGGATTAAACTAGCTTGAAGGCGAGATTCTTGAGTTCTAAAATGTTCTCAAGCTCACCGGATTTCTTGTTTGCACAATCTCAAGTTTCCATGTTTCTCGTTCTCAACCTTCCCTTGCCGTGACGACATGCCGCACCAAGGCACTATTCGCTTGAGCCTCAGGGCTTCGAGGCTACTGGATACTCAGCAAATGATCCACCCCTCCAAGGTGCACCGTCGATAATTCTGACATGGGAGGCAGGAGATGAGCTGCATAGCTCTGGAATGAGATTTCAAGCGCTACAGTGCTACGGGGCATCCACAGTTGCGTTCATGCAGTAAAAATTGGAAAGTAGATGAAGGTCCATGAAGGTAGCTTGTAGCATGCGCCATGCCCATGCCCACATTTGTGGACGACAAAAGGTGAAGAAAAAGCTTGAGTTTTTGGCAAAAAGTCAGGCCAGCCTTGGTGTGTACGCGTGGATGGCACCTGGGCAGATTGCGACTGTCAGGCCGAAACGGTTCGGCAGAGGAGAGCACAAGGGCTGGAGTGTAGAGGCCGTTTCACTTTCATGTTGCTCAGGGCTTCGGGGCACATGTGCGGGGCGCTTAGTGACTTCTCAACGCTCAGTTTCGAAGCTTCCTCTAATGGCAATTTTTGCCATCCTAATAGCGATGGCCTCCAACCTGATCAGGGAGTTGGGCCAGTGTTGATGGGCTTCTGTCACATCCGAGTTTTTCTTTTCGCGTGTTTTCGCCACGAATCTCCCGAGGATCTCCATTGATGTGAAACGAGTGCATCGCACCCATCCGATTCGACATGAATTTGATCTGGGCGATGAAGACCTTTCGGATTGGAGACCAGAGGCTGTCTGGGATGGCGACAGTGGAAGCTGCGAGACGCTGATTTGAACAATTTGAACAGCCTTGCGCCAGGCGGTCTCCCTATTCCAATATACCGTACCCCATAAACTCTAAGCAGTTGGTTTGTCTCAGTGTTGTCCCGTCAGGGTGACAATATCGAGGGCATCGACAGACCGTTTGACTGCCCCGACAAGGAGACTCTCGGAGAGGTGGAGAAGTAGCGACCTTTTCAGTGAGTTTTAACTTTGGAGAAGAACCCAGAAGTGTTGAGGGTGCTACCCATGGTGACCATGTGGAGGGTTTGAAAAAGTGCTGCCAGGACGCGAAATGGACGGAGGTGAAGAAACAGTGGTGGGGAGCTTTAGCTCCGAGCGAAGAGAACGGGACATGTCATCCGATCTGCATTATTTCTCCACCCCAAACAAGCCGCCTGCCTTCGCGCAAGCGAACGCAGCTTCTCGAGAGCTGGGCCTGAAGGATCTCATAGCCTGTCTCACTCTTCTTGCCTTGGTGGACTGACTGCTGCCCAGCTGCCGGTTGAAGCTGGACTCATGGACTCGGAAACGCAGTGTCTCGTCTCCTATTGATAGGGGTGAAGGACTCTTCACACAGCGACTTATCCACACTTTGCAGCATTCCGCAGTGCCTCAATACATCTGCCCTGGGCTGCGCCTGTTTTGATGGTACTTGTGCCCACCGATCAGCCGCATGGCTCGTTGAGTCGACAGCTATCGAGGATTGACTTTGGACCACAGACGTTTTTTGGACCCCAGATGATTGACCTCGGGTTTTTGAGGTGCTGCGATGTGGATGCTGACTGCACACCGCAAGTCAGCGAGTTCGACTGCCTCGCTGACTTCTCCACTTGGGCGCGGCGAGTCGAATGAGCGAACGACGGCCACGAACGGAACCGGCCGAACGGCCGAACGGCCGCAGGGCTCCTCTTGGAGTCTGGAGAAGAAGGTTTGGTCCAGACCTTGGATTTGTTGTACTGCCACCTGCATGAGCTGCATGTATTTTGATGTATATATATATACATATTTGTGCAAGTCGTGCATTGAGACTAGCAATGTACTGTATAGTTTTTAGTTGTGATAAGTCGGAGAAACTGACATGCTGCGCTGTAAATCTATATAAGTATATATACACATTCTTTGGCTGCTCCACTGCTCTCCACAGACTGATTTCAGGTGCTTCACTTCCGGAGATCACCATGAGTTGTTCGACTGTGACGAGGGCATCGAGAATGCGGACCGTCAACGTTTGCCTTTTTCTTTAGAAGGGAACGTCTCTGAAGCTGCAGTCAAAACTGGAGGATGATATGTATAGCATAATCCATATCACCAGAACTGCTGAAGCCAGACTTTTGCAGCGCCTTTATTTCTATTCTGCAGCCTGGCTGTACCCCAGGACCGTGGCTGGTCATCGGACAAGCTAGATTGGTGCGCTGGAGCATTCGGTTCGGTTGACTGACATTACAGACTATCAAAAACAAATTGAGAATGTGGCCTGACCAGCCAAGTTCACTGACCCCATGTCTGGACAAAACGACATGTAGTATCATGTAGTCACTGCATTCGACTACTTGTTGCGTCCCACTCCAGGTGTTGTCGGAAGAAGCAGAAAGGATGCAAACCACTCTTCGACTGCGACCACAATTTGGACACCTGGGCACTGCCCACAGTGGTGTGAGTGAGCTTTTCGTGTGACTTCAATTGAACGTTTCTGTGAAACGTCTGAGCCGTTACCGGTTTGCCAGCCTCAGCATCGAGGAGACTAGCTGGGAACCGAAAAAGAAACAGTGGCCCTCTGCTCAGAATATGGCAACCATGAGACTTGTCTCTTGCACGGCTTTCTCTTACGTCCAAGGACACATCATGAGTCATGAGCAAATTTTCCATGAAAAGCAGTTTATCTAGAAGGAAGCTGCCTCCGGAGTATGGCAACAGAGTTCAGTCTACAAATTGACAGAGGTTGAGCATCGAAGTAGTATGGATCCACTATGATCCACTACTATTTTTTGTGCAGCTGAGGTGTTGGGACAAGGAGCACAAAGGCTTCTACCACCCTTACAAATGCAAGGCACCAATTGGAGACTTGCGACAAGAGATGAGAATGAGACTTGATTTGTTTATCAACTTTCACATGACATCTAAACCGTGTATGCAAACACCTTGTGCTGACGCCAGGGCACCGTTGATGAACAGAAGTGGCCCGAAGAGAAGCAGGACGGCCTTGGTGCAACAGCTTTGGTCTTCTTTGTGCTAGACTGCTGTCTACGGCCTCTTGGAGAAGGTATTCCTTGAGAAAAATGGAATGAGACCGGTCAGGCATCCCCACCCTTGACTCGTTCGGCTCTTTCTGCCTGAAAAGTGGAGCATCTTCCGTTCATTGTGGCGAACTGTCTCGCTCACTGGGCCTTCCCAGTGAGTCGTGGTCAGGTCTCTTCTGGGACGGATGAGGTTGATTCGACGCTCACTCTGCAGTTTTCTCACCAGCTGAGCTTCTCTGCCGTTTGGCCAAGATCTTCAGCTGTGCTTTGGTTTTGTTCTTTTGCTTGCTGCCGGATCTGACTGCCGAACACAGGAAGCCATCTTTGGCTCTGCCCTGCGCCCATCTGAACGCACAGAAATGCCGCATCGCTTGCAGTTCGGTTGTGGCACTTACTTGCAGAGCAAATCCTAGTTACGTGCTGAGTGCCGGTGGCTGTTGTAAGCAGTTTGCTCTCATGGCCCGGCCATGAGTCTGTTTGACGGTGACAGTTGTCACCAACTTCCAGGATGTAGAGAAAGACTGCTCAGTGATAGACTGGGCAATAAGACTGTTCAGATCACTCAAACATATTGCTTTCAAAGAGTGACCAGGACCATCCAAGACCTATGCTTTGTGCTTTTCAAACGGATTTCTGCTTCTTGTGTCGACCTTTTGTCAAGCCTGTGAAGAGCCGCTGCAGAGCGAGAAGTCTACGACTGGAACGTCCGAAGCGCCCGACAAACACGTCGTGAGATGTGTCGCAGGGTCCGCTTGGATCATGTCGCCAATTTGAAAGTATCAAGACGTCAGTCGATGGATGTCTTAAATTTATGCAGAAGAAGAAAGCTGCTTAAGCTTGGAACTGTCAACATGGTCAGAGCTTTGTTTTGTTGCTATGGTTTTAAGAAAGGGGACCGCTGGCAGCCAGCAGCTGACAGCACAATCGTTGGTTGTTGCATGTTGTTGCTACAAAACCCTCAAACTCCGGTGTTTTGCCTGAAGTGCGATCCAGTTGCAGGTGGTGGTTTGGAACACTTCCCAGGTGGTTTGGGCATGCCGTGGACCGGATTCGCCACGGGACGGCCACTTTCCGCGCCCTAAAACCACAGAGACGACGCAAGGCTGAAGAGAAGGGGCACAAGTCACAGCAGGGGAGAGGAGTACTCCTCAGAGGAGTAATGAGGAGTAGAGGTGAGGAGTAGCTAGGACCTGGGATTACTCCCCGAATCATGTGCATGTTTTTTTCGCCTGAAGATTCCAGAGATGCCGATGGAGAAGTTTCAAAGAACACCTGTGTAAGTGGCCCCTGAATTAAGATGTGGTAAACACGTTCTCATTGAGTATAATGAGTCCTTTTGTTGTTTCACTGTAGATATGAATTGAAAAGACATCCGAAAAGGCTCAAGTGTTTCGGTGAAAGGGAAGGCACAGGTTGCTCACTCGACTTGCCGTACTGGTTTACTCAAAAATTGCATGACGTAGTGTTCAGTTGGCCAGGAGTGGTGCTGCAAGAACCAACACGTTTGTGTTCAGCACGACTATGACTGCGAGGCAGGGTCGGTACAAGATCAGAAGAGCTTTTGGCGGGTCTTTGTGCGGAAGGGCCTGCCAGACTATTCTGTTCATTCGGAGGTCTTCCCCACGGTCTCACAGTGCACCGGTCGGGTCGTTGGTCGAATTTGGGAAGGTCTGTTTTTATGTGAAGCACCCCGTTTCCTGAATCACGCACATGTTTCTTTTTGGGGCCGAACAGCTCCTTTATGTTGGTGAGCTGAGCTCGTTTCTTGCACATCCACCAAGCGCACCAAACAGTTTGGAGATCATCTCTGGTCGATACAATCACACACGGAAAAGCGGAGAAACGCTGAGGCAAACTATGCAACATGGCAAATACAGTGGACAGCAGAAAAGAGCCTTGGCCGCTCAATCGGTGCCCGAGGGCCAAGGGGCGACACAGATCTGCTTGCTTGGGGTGCAAAGACGACCATTTTGCTGGACGAAGACTTTACGTTTTTTGATAAGCTCAGGAAACACTACTGTTGCCAGAAGGAGGGCAAAGGATGTTGGGGCGCTAAGATGCTGCTGTGTGTCCATGGTCTTTGGTGGTTTGGTCCATCTTCGCGTGTCGTTGGCGGTAAGTGCAGGCTATGATTGCAATGCTGGTCTTCGCAACTGGGAAAGGCTGGCTTTAGCGAAACTGCTTAGGGGCACCGAGGCACTCAGCAAAGATATAAGAACACTTGCACAATATCCAGTGTTGTGTGACCATCAGTGGCGATTTGGGAGCTCAGGGGGTGGTCACACGACAAGAAGGCCTACTGCTGCACGGAAGAGGCCAAGGACTGCCCACGACTTAAGAACAAAACATGGGCTTTATGCAAATTGCAAGTTTTTTTTCCTCCTCAAAACAATAAAACACATGTTCTTCAACAGTTTCCACGTTATTTTGTTCGAAAAGCTCTGTTTGCTTGCGTCTTTTTTTCACTGGCGGCCAGAACTGCTACTCCTGCCTCAAAATCTCCGAGAGCCCCTATTGGGGAAAGAAGCACCGGGAGTGCGCAGCTTTTAACGCAAACGCAAACGTCGTCCAAGCATCGAATCAAGGACTCCAGAGCTCCCCCCCCATGGAGATTCGGAGGTTCCGAGTTGAACGTCTGTCTTAAGAGTCGAACCAGTCAGCTTATGTGGAACATAGATGTTGCAATGAGTGCCGTTTTCCGGCTTCGCCGGCTTCCACATGCTGATTAAAGATGCGGAGCCTGAAACAGGCTGCGTTTCGAGGTGTTCTTGTTGAGCAAGGACAACTGGTCCTTTTGAGGTGTAACATGATGCCCTACTAGCCTGGTTCAGGCCCTTGGAAACTTTCCACACAACCATAGTGTACATGTGTGTGGATCATTAGTTGAGGTTTCAAGCTGAAAGGTGCTTGGGTTGGACAAGATCAACGCATCAGGTACTGCTGTGAATCGCAGAATGTGGCTTGCCATGATTGCAGTGGAGATGCCGGGGTCTTATTTGTTTGCGTAAGACTTGAGGCAGTGTTTCTTGTGTTGTTTGGGAGCAACCGGCCCGGCATTCTGTTGAGCTTTCTCGACACCTTCGGTTTAGCCAGCAAATATGATACTTGAGGTGAAGCTCTTCAAAGGCTTACAAAAGGACTTGGTATCTTCACTCTTACTTTCAATGTGATGTTGTGTCTTCTTCTGTCCAATATCCTGCCGTCTTTCAAGAACGTTCATGAAAAAGCTGTTCTTTTTCTTGATTTGAAGCCCAGCAAGGAGTGGTGCTGCGAGCAGGAACGTCGCTGTCATCCCGAGCCACGAGCTTAGGAACCCCAGCGGGCTCCATCGACGTTCTCCGCCGCTGTCACCTCCGCGAACCTCCAGGCTCACTACATCCACCACGGCCAGCACCACGAACTGCCCTGATGCCATAAGTTCGCTTGGAAGCCCCGGAATTGGACAAAAAGCCGGAGGGTTTCGGAACACTGAGAAGACACTGAGAAGTCATCCCCTAAGGGACAACCCAGCATACTGCGTCGGGGCCTCGGAGAGAGGATGAGCGAGCGAAAGGTGCTTGAAGTCTCGGATGAAATGCTTGTCATACCAATCACTGTGCCTTGGCTTGTGGCTTGCAGAACACTCCCATCGGCACCTGGCCTGAAGAGAAGCGCGTCGGGGCCCACAATCAGAGCTGGGACTATTGGGGATGCGCCACGAGCGTGGCTTGCAGCTGGGTCCTGCGATGCGATTGGGGTCTACCAGAATCTACCCCCAGAAGCCCAAAGATACGATTTGATACAACAGTCAAGAGTATCATCTCAAACATCCATCAGTAGCTCTTGGAACCATCTACTCAGCTAGCACAGTGTTCAGGAGTATTGCTGCAAGCACTATGGACGGGGCTGCCCCCAGAAGCAGTTTGACTGTGCTGAGCTTAGATGTTCAAGTCAAGGGAGTAAGGGGACTTGTGTCCTACCATGTATGAGCTGCAACTATGCAGAACTACCTCGCCCTGATACGTCGTGAGTTGTACTCCAGGCCATGAAGATTATCACCATTGGAAAGTTGCGTGGTCCGACAAGAAAAAGGAGCCGAGTGATCAACATCCATCCTGGTCCATCATCCTGGTCCATCCTACCATCCCTTTATTTCTAAAGATTGTACCTTTAGCAACACAGAGTTTTCAGCAAGCTTCGCGTTACTTTCCACATAAGAAACTCCACACTCTACAGAGAGAGTTGCTCCAAGACCTCGGCAAAAAGGAGTGGTGCTGCGCCAAGCATCATGTTGGCTGCAAGTCCATGCCAAACTGTCACACGGTGCAGGGCCCAGAACGAAAACATCCTTTTCACCATGCCACGATCTCTTCCTTTTCGAGAAGAATGAAGAAGATCCGGAAAGAGAACTCTCAACATTGACCGTGTAAAGCTTGCTAAATAAACACTGTCCATCCACCGGTTACTCCGTCTGGTGTATTTGATCTTGGAATACCACTCGACGCCAAAGACTGGTCGCTTGACCGAGGCACCTACCTCTTGGAGCCCAGCCAAACAGCAATATTGCTGCAAGGGACCGAGGGGATGTTCCCGAACCGATGCAAAACGCTCCTCTTCACCGACCTGGTCGGAAGGTCATGTCCGGTCTGGGAGTCTGAAGGATCCAGCGATGGGGGACGGAGTGAAGACTCCGGACGTCCTAAGGGTGGGGGGTCGTACGTAAAGATTTAGAGACGGGTGAATGGTGGTGAAGTTTGACCAAAAGGGCTGGACACCAAGAGACAAATGTGAGTCCGGAAATGTCCAAATGAAATTTGAGGGGGCGAGGAAGGTAGAACAGATGTTCTTGCTTCTCTTAGAATTCTTAGAGCCAGGCCCTGATCACAGCTTGTTGCCTGAAACCCTCGAACCCTAACACCCTGGAGCCAGACGCTCTAGGCCCTAGGCTTTGGCTTAACTCTTTAAGTCTCTACTGAATGCATGGTTTTTGCTGAACTCTCTTGGCCTTGTGTGTTTTTTTCTTTTAATCCACAATGCTATGGCGTCTAATGCCGGTGTACTTGTACGTGATGTATGTGCTATTATATCCTGCATAGTCGTTGTTATATACATTTGTGGGAGACGTCGACGTCACGTGAGCAACACCCAGGTGAAGAGATCAAGGTTGGCTGCCAGCCGTATCTCTGCCGGGATGGGGCCGGGGACGCCCGGTTTTTTGCCAAGCCACACGTCCATGCTCATCGAATTTTCTTGCATCACTTAGTTAAATTCACCCTACCTGGTGTGCACTGAGTCTTCGCCAGAGACATGGACGCACGATCGCCGAGCTTGGTGCTGCGCGTGGCTTGGATCAATGGCCAAAGGAGTTGAATCTGAGCCTCCACTGCCGTGCAAGTGGGAGGATTTGCCCATTCGAGTATGTTACAGGAAAGCCGATACATCACGTTCCTTCCTGAAGCACTGCTGAAAACTGGAGTTGTGTTGTCTGTCAGGAAGGAAGACATTGGCTGCGTGCCCCAACCTTAAGCCTTAGATCTTCAAAGAAACGGTATCCTACTTAAAGCCCGCAAGCGGCAGTGTTTTTGTGCATCGGAGGGATGATGCTCTCTCGAGGCATTCCATGCCCCGAATGGGCATGGTGAGTCTTACACATTGCATCACCAAGGCCGGAAGCGAAGCCGGACTTACAGCCTGAGCAACCCCATGGACAGCCTGGCACTGAAAGCAGAGCAGAATCCAAGCAGATCTATAATACTCCTGTGCACATGACATGCTTCGAGGTTGGAGGTGGCGTTTTGCATGAAGATACGGGCGTTGTTTGGATTTGTGGTAACTCCTGGTCCTAGTGCAGTCCACAGCAGCTACTTTTGGGTCTGCAGTTTGCAAGCATGCCAAGCATGTTCTCGTGAACCTAGATAGATAGATAGCTCGCAAGAGCACGATTCAGAAAAGTACTCAACAAAGTTTACTGCAGTTAGACCTTGGCTGAAGAAACGGTAAGGTGAAAGGTCGGAAAAAAATGGTTTCAACACGGGTGAAACGAGAAGTCAAGTTTAAATTTGTTGCAGGCACGCCAGGATGGCCAATTCTGGTATCCCGCGTTCAGACTAGCTTCGTTGGGCGTAGTCACTTGAACACGCTACGCCCCCCCTGTAAGGATTAAAAGTTCCAAATTCTCAAAATGGAAGTGTAGTGTATCCTGTGGAACAGGGATTGACACACACACACACATATAGCCGTGAACCCGGCACACAGAAAATCAGCCCTCCCTTGACTAAAGGAACCTGAGATACAGCCTAACAAGCCTCTAGCAACGAGAGAGCATCAACAGTTGGAACGGAAGGTGTGTACGGGGTGTATGCCCTGATAGACAGGGTGTGGCACGTAGACACATAGCCGTAATCGGCGCGACGGAAAAGAACCAGAGTTACAACCTAACAAGCCTTTAGCAACGACATGCAACGACCAAAAAGACTTGAAACGAAAGCAGCCCAGTGCACTGTACAACGTTTTCTATTGGAACTACTGGTTGAAACAATTGGAAAGATACAGGTCGAAGAGTTCAGTAGGGCTTCAGTGGGCCGCGTGCCTTCAATTCAGCTAAGAACCTTGAGGGTCTATGAGTTCCGCGCCCCAAAAATGGGATCACACAGCACACCACAGTGGGACGATCATGCTGCGATTCGCACTTAAACAGATAGTTCGCAGCAAGATTCAGAATCTGATTCGACAAAGTTTGCTGCAGTTAGACCTTGGCTGAAGACACGGTAAAGTGAAAGGTCGACAAAAAGGGTACGCCAGGATGGCCGGTTTTTGGTATCCCGCGTTCAGATTTGCTTCGTTGGGCGCAGTCATTTGAACAAGCTACCCTGCAAGGATTAAAAGGTCCAAATTTTCAAAGTGGAAGCGTGGTGTATCCCTTTGGAGCAGGGATTGACACACACACACACACACCACCCAAACACGCCGGTTGGCTGAGGTATGATTGTTTGGAGGGTGTGTCGAGTTGGCGCGACAGCTGGAGGGGAGCTCAAACTGGAAGCTGTCCCACAAGCTGTGGTTCTGTTCTGGCTGCATTCCCATGTGCGGCTGCAGCCTTTTCCTCTCCTTAGTGCCAAGGTCTCCTGGGAAGAAGGAGTACTGCTGTGGAGATCTCAGAGAGTACGACCTTGTTTTGGGCTGACAGGGTGTTGATGAAGCTTGAGCTGCTCGAGCTCCAAGGCCGCAGCATCCAGGTTGGCTGTGTGATGATCTCGCCCCCAAGGGATCCAGAAGAGTTGGATACTGAGTAAGGCTTGAAGCTTTGTTAACTGTGCTTCCCAAGATACTGGCCATGGCTGTTTTTATCTTTTTCCTGACACTTTCTTGTCTCCAAACAGCTTAGCAGCTCGGCGCTCCCCGCTCTGCGCACTGAGAGCCCCGGCTCTTATGTAACAGATCTGCTTTGTTGCATGGGCCTCCTGAATTGCACCATTTGTTCGACGATTTGTTTCTCACTTGTCACATCTTGTCCTTGATGGTCCAGCTGTCTTCCCTTCCAACAGTGGACTCCTCGTGTGAGCCCAGGCACCCGGGCAGGGGCCCCAGACCATACGGGACCATACTTGTTGACATACCAGTAATTGGACAGTTAATTAAGACGTGTTTGTTTTCTCAACGGGCACTGGTCGGCTGTCACCGCTTGGACCACTCTACTCCAGGCTGCAGTGCTAAATGTCATTGGGATTCAGAAGAATTTTCGTGCGGCGAGCGGATCAAGTATGCTCCAGCCTTACAAGCCATTGTGTCATAGTCATATCTCATGCAGAATCTTCGGGCTCCCACAATAAAGCCCGGCTAGCTGAAACTCCTTTTTGGCTTTAGTGCCACAGCTCAAGGATCCTTGAGACAAGTCGAACTAAGGCAGCTGCCCATCGCTTTCGTGGCCAGAAGCATGCCTGTGTGGGAGCAGTAGTTTTGACATCGACTGCCATTTTTCAATATCAGATTCACTGCTCAGATGGCTGCGCATCATCTAGTGGCGGGTGAATGCGATTTTTGCTTCTTCCGGCATGTGTTGGGAAGCCGAATGCATGGCACATGTTGAGCTGAATTGACCTGCCAAAACAGTGTCGGATGGCAGGCTCCCAGTGTACGGTCCAGAGATCCGGTTGTGAAGAGCTCAGGGGCAAAAGCCTTTTTGGACAAGAACTGCACCTTGAAGTGAACTGCAGTGCCCTCAAACAGTTTACTGTTGGGGTTCTCTCTGAGGGAAAAAGGCTGGCCACAGTCTCTGGCTGCGCCCTTGAACCCTCTGTCCGGGTGTTGTTCTGCTGTTGCTCCAGTTGTCCTCCTGCTGTCCTTTGGGCTCGCTGGGGGTGCGCCACTGTGTCCTTCTCTTGTCCTCCTGCTGTCCTCTGGCCGGGCTGGCGAACCCTGTGTGTCCTCCTTTTGTTCCCCAATCAGTTTGAGAAAGAAATGGCTGGCCATGATAGCTGTGGCCGCGCCGCGGGCTGTTTTTTCCACCTTGTCCGGGGCTCGTCCAGGCCTTGTCCGCTGCGCTGCTGTGGGCCCAGCGTTGTCCTTGTTCAGGCTTTGTCCGCAGCACCACCTTGTCCAGGCTTTGTTTGAAGTCTTGTCCGAGTCTGTCCTGCTTGTCAGCGTTGTCAGCCCTTTACCACCGCCTTGTCCAGGCCTTGTCCTGTGCTTGGCCACGCCGCTTGTCACACTTGTCCTTTGTCCACCGCGATATTGTCATCGGATTTTCTCATGACATACGTCCCTTCGTTTTTGCACACGTGACCCGGGAATCAGGAACTATTTTTTTAACACAATGCAATTCCCAAACAGCTGGAAGCTACAGAAACAACATTACAGACGTTACCACCAACGTTGGAATATGAAGGAATTGATGCAACAAAAAGAATGCTGAAACGGTATGGGGTGCCTTTCATTCAATCGCTGCTTAGGTTATGTCTTTTGGCATCACGAGACGCACCACACGGTCACCACGCACACGGTGGCTGAAACGCCGGGGTGCCCAAGGCCTCTCATTGCGGTGGTTTTTGTTTCGCTCCCCAAATCGGTGACCAAGGCACAGGGCCTTTCACTGCGATGCTCGCTTCCTGGTATCAGGTGGGTATTGACAGATTGAAAAGCAAAATGCCACTCAGGATGGGCCAGTGGGCCTGTGGCCCAAGCAGAAAAAGCAGTACTGTTGCGCGTGCCAAGCTCAGTTGTGCCATGCTCAACGATGCAATAGATAATCTTTACATGCCTTTGCTGGCCGAGAGCGGTTCCAACCGTTCGCCAAGTGACCTGACAAAACCGCGAAAAAGCTTGACGCCCACTGAGTGCTGATTCCCCAGTTCAAACTTCTTGGGCTTCGTCTACAGGCTTCTATCGGGTTTGCGCAGGTTAGTCAGCTTGCTTGGTCTCACGACACTTGGGGTCCCAGGGCATCTCTGGAAATGACTCAGAAAGCGCAGATGATGCATCACTCAAAGTCAAAGTGAGTTCATTTGTAAATATTGCATTATTGATGGTTTAACTTTTACATACACCCTGTGAGCCAAAGAGGGCAGAACATGCATGTCCCGGGACAGCCAAACCAAGGTTCCATCGCAAAGGCTGCTCGGGGCAGCAGCAGGTGCAAGACGGGTATGATTGTGCTGGCCCAAGTGAGACTCTTCGCTTGAAAGGCTTTTCGTAACAAAGGCACAGACAAACATGTGTCCAATGTCACTATGAAAAATGACTTCAAGACTAGATGATGTAGCCGCGTAGCCTAACTGACAGTCTGCTTGCAAGTTGGCTATCTCAAAGTGGAAGGTCTCTCGCAGCAACTCGCTACAGTTTCTAGACTTACTAGATGATGACTTCGGAAGCCCGACGCCATGATCGAATCGAAGCAGAGACTAGCAGACTAGCAGAATCTACCTTGGATGCATCCTCAACTCTCACATCGAATAGAAGATGGATGTGATCCTGCCGCTGCACAGCTCTTTCTTCGTGCTCTTTCTTCGCCAAGGCAATGAAGGCTTTGACAAATGGGAAATCGTTTGATGCCCAGTGCTTCCCAGTTTGAAAACACCGAGCACCACGCAGTACTTCCCGGTTGGACGCCGCCCACGGTCCGGTCCTGCTGGACCGTCCCGCGCTGAGAACTGGGATGCGCGGCAGAAGGTTTGGTGCTGCAAGTGGGAGTCCCAGAGAGTCGAGGACGATCGCAGAGAAGCACTTGGAAAACACGCCTTAGTTTTTGTTGTATTTTTCTTTTAGGGGCAGGGACAGGACCACCAGAGAGTGCTTCTAGGAGTCACTCTTTGTCCTTTGTCAAGTTGCTCACATTGGGTGTGTATGCGTGTAGGGAGACTACCCAGCCAGACCTGCTGGTCAAAGGACAAAGCCTCGTGGACAGGCAAAATACTCAAAGAAGAGATACGCCGACCAAGGCACCAACAAAAGGCATGCGCTCGCTTTCAGTGTGACCTTGGCATGGAAACCTAGCTACGCTTGCACGTTTGCCAACTTTCGGATGTCAAATCCACAGAAGATCTTGTTGAAACTGCTGATCGAGCCACGAAATTGTAATTCAAAATTTAGTTCTGAAAGCTTGAATTTAAAAAGCACCGCATTGGATTTCAAACAGTCAACTTGGTTTGCTCATTGAAATGTATGCTGTGCTCCTATGACACCGAGACCTGTCCAACTTCCAGACTGTTTGGGGGCCGCCAAAGAAGATGTGGTGCTGTGAGTGGGGCTCCCAGTTTCATATGTGCACAATATGGCAAGCATTGGCAAGCAGATGCGGTGACTTGATGGAATGGACCTAATTATTTTGCGCAGGCATGAGAAACGTGGTTGCGTACCCGGCTTCATTTGGTTCGTCTCCTGGCTGAGATGTTGTTGCAGCGGCCGAAGGGGATGCGGGCATTTGCGGGGCTATAGGAGAATAACGTAGAGCAAACACCAAAGAATCCACAGCAGGCCATCCAAACCTTGAAAAAGTGCACAAAAAGGCCACAAAGGCCATCTAAAAGAAAACGTAAGTTGGCAATCACCGATGGCCTTCTCAGGATTGCAATGAGGAAGCGGAGCATTGGGCCGAGTTCTCAGTGGTTTGCCCGTGAAAATGGACTGCGGGAACTTACTTTTTCCATTTTCCTCAGTACTTCTTAGTGATTCGTTTGCTTAGCTTTGTTTGAACATGGTACGTCCTTTGGCCAGGAGAGCGTGTGGAAAGCAGAGAAGAAGGCATGGTGCTGCTCGTGGAGCCCTCAGGAAGTCAGCACCAGGAACGAGCTCGGTGGAACTGGTGCAAAGCTGCACGAGTTCTTGAAACTCGGTGAGTTCGGTGTTCTTGTTGCAAAATCAACCTGCTCCACCTGCTCCACCTGCTCCTGCACATTTCCACTGCAAGTTCCGAAGACTTCTCTCACCAAAGTGCTGCAAGCATGATGAACTTCTCTCCGAAACCATCCCGGCATGATGACGTTTAAGACCGACTGGGCCTATTCCACCGAAACATGCTCGCTGTGCTGGGCACATGAAAGAACTCTTTTCCAAGAACTCGTCCGATACGGCTGATGAGGCATGAAAAGAAAGGCTGCCCAGGATGGAAATGGACTCCACCCCAAGGCTGGGGGGGGCGGGCAAATGATGTATATACTTCAAGCAAAGAGCTCTATCCATTTTCATTATCTAGTGACTAGTAAAGTAAGTAAGGCTTGTGGCGCAGTTTTGGCATGGACTTTCTTTCAGAACAAGCTAAGCCCTTCAAGATAGCGCTAGGATCTCGGGGCGGAAGAAAGCAGAGTTCCAAATGAATGTCACTGTCCCCAAATTTCAAGCATGGCCAATCAGCCAACACGGTACTTCCCTTCAACACTTGCGGGTCGTTTCGCCTTAGAGTCCATAGAGAAGAATAGAGAAGACTCAGACTCAGACCCTGCGAACACCAAACAAATGAGAAACTGGTGAAGCTCCAGACTCCTTGTGGTGGATGCAGCATTTCTTCAGATCCCTCCCGTGGTTACAGCTTCAACAAAGACCTTTGAGCTAGTTCAAGAATCTTCCCACCAGGACCTCTTCATGTGCTGAGTTTTCATGCGCTTTTTGCAAGGAATTCTTCATGTGATCCACACCACCTACACCACGCACCATGTGGCGAATGGTGGTCATTGGGCCTCTTGGCCTTGGGCGTGGAGCGCACCAAACAGGCTGCCCTTGAGTGCTGCCCTTTTCACTGGGACGGTTCTTTGTGGAAGCAACAAGCTGTAGCTTCGCAATCCAAAGCAAACAATGTCCACTCGATCTGTAAAACAGGGGTGAAGAAGGGAAGCAACCAAACGCAACACAGGAGTCATGTGTTCAAGACCTCCAACAGGCTTCAGCTCATGGAAGTCTGCGAAAACGTCTGAGGATGTGGGCTTCAAGAATTCCTGGCACCATGAAGGTGAATGGCATCAAGGTCACCCTCCAGCGGCTTCGGGCGGAGTCCATGGTGCTGCACATGGTGCTGCGCATGGTTCGCCGGGGGTGCCCAGAGTGACCATCACAGTCTTGGCCGCCACATTGGTGACCAGATTAGACCAAATCTATCGTTGAATCGTTGAACACCACCATTTTGGTAAGTACTTTAGTGCAGCTGGACTCCCGCAGACCAGTGAAAAAGACGGGCAAACCCGCTGCCCATGGACTCGGCAAATAGTCCAATCGCGCGGTTAGTCCAACGCCGTCGGCGCCGATCCCAAGGATCAAGTTTAACTGTCACAAAGACTCTGACCATTGGGTGCAGAACTCAGGAAGCTTCGGCAGACACAGGGCAGCTAAACCAACCAACCGAGAACGCGAAAAAAACGCGAACAGGCGAACAGGTACCTGGCCGTCAGTGCTTGGTTTGTTTCGCTTAGGAAGACAGGTGGTCCCCACCGCAGAAGCACTGGACCGGGCCTCAAGACGACACCGAACGACCGGTCGTCGGGGCGTTCTTTTGGGCGTTCGGAGGTCTCTTGTAAGCACGAGTCAAACAAGCACCAGAATGATGGTTGATTCCTCAAAGGCCCAAACAACAGAATGAATAAACATTTGATGATTTATTGATGTTTTCAATCGTTTTCATATGATCATATTGACATATTGAGGATTCTACTCAAACCTTCGACGAGTCTCCGAGTGTTTCGCCCGGGTCACGACTTGCGTCACCGAGCGGGTCACACCAGGTGTTGGGTGCACTACCACATTGGCTACCACCAGCTGTTCAATTGCCATGTCGGACAGGCGTTTTTTGGTCCAACGATTTGCATGTGGCATGCCGGTGTGAAGAAATCGTCCTGAACTTCTCTCTCTGTCGAAAACCTGTCTCCAGGATCATAGGATTGCTTTCATTCCGCTAGGCAACCGCCTGGAGCATCCCGAAGAAGAATTGGTGTGAAACTCGGGTCTCCGCGTCCTTCCCGAACGAAAACCGCGGTTGGAATCAACAAACCACTGGTGTAGATGCCCACACGAACGCCGGTGTTTCAACTAACCAAACCCGAACGCGCCATGTGATGCCAAGTGAACGAGGTGTTGCACACAGCTGAATATTTGCCATAGCTCTTCAAATGGAGCAGCCTTCGATTGCAATGCTGTCCGTGGTCTCAGCTGCGCACGAAGCGGGCGATGTGGGACTTGCGATGGTCCACTCTTGAGGCTTTGGGCAACTGGGCCTGAGCCTAAGGGAGCTGCCCTGTGTGACAGTCCGCTTTCATAGAAGTTGCTGCGGTGTCATGGTATCAAGGGTACCATCGTAGGGGTTCGGATACGGGAAACCAACTTCAAAACATACTGGCTCCCAGGAGAGGGCTTGGAGTCCAGCAAAGAAGAACTGGTTTGGCGGCCCAGATGACTTCGAGTTGGTTTGGTGGTCCGATAAGCCTCAACTCGTGTCGGGAGTCGGTTGGTTTCGCCAAGGTGCTGGACGCATATGCACAAGGGTGGACCTCCTGGTGGACACAAACCACCACCTCTAGCAGCGGTGCATGTCGTGCATCCACCTGCTGGAAGTGCTTGGGGTGCAGCAGGCGCAGGGAACCATCGCGAAAACTGGTTTGTGATCAAGAGGATAAGTGGCCAAAACGTTTGAAGGTAACACCGTGTTCATTTTCAAAGAGAATGGGGCCCATTCTTCATTACTAGGACCAGGGAGCAGTCCTTAAGTTGCGTGAAGGAAATTATACCATAAGCTTGAAGATTCTTGCGCTTCCTGGTGGCTTCGCTTTGACCGATCTCCATGCAAACAGGTGTACTTCCTGGTAGCAAGATGCAGGGCGGCGGCCTTGGTAGCGACTTTGATCGACTTGGTGATCTCCTCCTGTCAGGATCGACGGTCGTCTTGCATCATTTTGCATCCAATCCGAAGGTCAATTCAACTGCGCAGCAGCCCTGCAAAACTGGGCTCGGGGCCAAGCGGGGCAGAGGAAATTTGTGCGATGTTTTTGCGCTTTCGTACCCTAGAGAGTGAATGTGATACACCACTTGTGGGTCTGCAAGGAAGGGAGCTGATTCGCCCCGATTCGTCCACCGTGAAATGCAAGATGGAGGAAACACACACACACACATCATGCAGTAAAGTAGTAAAAGATAAACACACATTTAGCATTTGTATTGCTTCAAGAAGAGCTTGGTCGAAACATCACAATGAGAGCTTCTATTCTTTTTCCTTCAGCTCATCCCATATACCTGTGACCCCTGGGGTACCCACCTCGAGTACCGACCTCCGGTGCCTTTGGTGGACCGTCACCTCAGGAAGATGCATGGAGTCCACAGAAGAAAGTATGGCCATCACCTCAGTGTCGACCCAGAAATCCACTGGTTTGGATGTTGTTTCTGCCCAGTCGTTGCGGCAAAGGATACCAAAAACGAAAACAATCCCAAGAACGATACCTGCCTTAAAAACTTCCGGCCCCCTAGTTTTGCCGGTCGCTCACATAGTAAAAGTAGGCCCGTGCCTGCAACAGATACTGTTGACCAAAAGGGGGACTGTGTGATGTATATATTTGTTTGTTCATCTATCTTTACATAGTCAAGGACAGGTAGTAGGCAGAAAATTGCGCCACCACCCGTCCTTGACTATAATACGTATGAGTTCTGGCCGTTCCGGTCACGGGATGGACCGCTTCCTTTTAGACGGACTGAAGGACCGCCCGGGATCCAGGTGTTGGCGCCATCAGAGAGTGGGAGGTCCAGAAAGATTTAACTGTCATACACAGGCGCGAGAGTGGGGCCTCCGAAGTCTTCGCAGCATTCATGAGTGCAGACGCTCGCCACGCCCTCTTTCATACAGTGTTGGACAGACAAGCTTCAGTTCAAAAGGCTTGGCCCCAAACACAGGAGAAGTCTTCGCTTTGGATTTCATGCAACGGTGTCCGTGTGCTTGTGCCACAACCGTAGTTGGAGGCACAAAAACATGTAGACACAAGAAATCGCGTCGCTTGGCTCTCACACAAATGCAGGTCGCTCGTTGGTCTGGTGCCAAAAGATCGTGGTGGCTGCCTCGGCAAAATTTTTTCCTTAAGTCTCGAAGCACACGTGACCAATCGGGAAGGGAATAACAAGGGTATAACACACACACACCAGGGTAGCCTGTGCTAGTGCTTTCTCCTTGTCGAGAGAATCCTAAGCTCAGAGTGACCGAATCCAGCGAATTTTTGGACCATATGAACTATGTATATATATATTTCTCAAGAACATTGAGCACCTGCTTCAATGCCTCCCTTTGTCACATTTACAACCACCTTTTGATCTTCACGTGGCTCAATCACCGTGTATGCGTCACAAGAACAATCTCTCGCCCTCAGGTTCTCAACCTGAATGCAATTTTGGGTCCTATTCATAACCTACCTTCTATTCCAATTTGATTTGCACCGGCAAGGGAATCACAAGTGCTCTTGTCGGCACCACTAGTTTGTCGTGACTGAATTTGTATGGCTTGAGGGGCTGCTGATGCATTTTTTCACACGGGTTTCTCAAAGTAGGGAGCGCTTTGCAGCGTTTGCAGCTTTGTTGAAGCGGATGAAATGCCGTAGGGTCGTCCTGTTCAGAACCAGTTTCGTATTCCAGTGATTCCAGTGCCTTTGAGCTTCCTGAGTAGACTTGAATGAAGCAGTTCAAGAGCCAAGAGGGGGAAGCTTGACTGAGGTGCTGTGAAAATCACAGAAACACGTGCCCAGATCGTCGCCTGTGCGAGCCTCAGGCTTCCTTTGGGTTCGCTCGAATCAACTCTGGTGTATCTCTTTGTCTGACGGGATGTTTTGCTTGGGCAGCAAACACACGATCGTGCTCTTGATTTTTTGGAATACAACACGATTGCAAGAAGATTGACAAAAAAAGACATCATCAGCTGAGCAGGCCAAGTATCGAAAGAAAGCCGCTCTTGCTATTGTAGCCCAGGTCCGAGATCTTCACTTGATCGCAGGGAGCTCGGAGGAAAACCCAGCTCTGAAATCTGTTGGATCAACAATTCCATTTTGGACCAAACGCATGAAAGCAGAATGTTTTGGTCTAAAAGCGCATTCATGAAAGCACTTTTGGAGCAAAACGCTGTTACTTCTACTGTATTTTGTTTTAAACAGATCTTGGATGCAACTAGGAGCAAAGGGCATCGCTACTAGGAGCAAGGACGCTACTACTAGGAGCAATGTTCGCTACGCACGGAGCAAACTTCAAACTGGTCATGGGATGACGAGAGTCGCACCACGGTCCGAAGTCGTGGCCTTCATCCCGGCCGCGTTCGATCACGAGGTTGAATGCAGAGGTCATGTCCGTCCCCCCGGACCTCTTCCGCGGGGTTTAGCTCAAAGTTCTACGCCCTTTGCCAGCACAACCTTGGTTCACACGCGCTTTGTATTGATGTGTGAGAGGGAGGACCATTCTTGGCTTCGGTGCACGAAGAAAGATCTAAGCTGGCAAAGGGCTGCGTACACCTGGTTTTGGGATCAACAGGATCCTAGCACCAGAATGCACAAACATCGCAAGATGACGAACCTCCAAACTTGGAATCAGCCTGATGTTCTGCCTGCGAGCCAAAGTGCTTTGGATGGACACGGTGATTGACATTTTCGGGGGTGGCAGGTTCTTAGCGCAAGGCCGAGGTGTTGCATTTCCAACCCTGGTAGGTTCGATCTGGGCCCTTTGAGACTTGCCACCTCATGGAATTCCTAGCGACAGGGTATGCGGACGACTGCAGGACGCACCCTGAATTAGAGCTGGACTCGCCGCTGGAGACAGATGACAAATGGTGTTGGAGTTGGAGGATGATTGAGGTACACTCCGACTCAGTAACATGGAAGTGGAAAGTCCCCTGTAAAGGAAAGTCGTCTTCCAAGTGGCCATTTTCCACTTCCATGTTAGAGGGAGTAGCTCCAAGAAAGACCACCAAAAGTAAAAACAAGAACTTGGCGATGGTCGTGCTGTTTGAGCGGAGATTCATTCGCACCTTTCCGCAGCTGGGGTCCGAGTATAGTCTCAAGTCTCAAGTTCTGAAAGGGTCAATAGCTGTACAGCTGAGAATCCCTCGAAAACGGGCCACGTGTTTATGCCAACTCCCAGTCCATGGAGCCTCTGGTCCGAGCCGCAGACGATCGACATGTTGACTGGGATTTACTGTACACCGTGTCATACGCTTGGTGTTCTTTTGTGTTACTTGGTGTTCCAGGGTTGAATTGAGGTGAGGCCAAAGTCCGCCATAGTGACTGAGAGGCGGAGTGGTGGAGAGCACTCAATTTGCTTGGCTTGGAGCAATGTTCGTAAGATTTATTTGCAAGCTCTGCCTCGACCGATGACATGTAGTTCCGGGGTCTTATATAAATCAGGGCTCCCGGCTCCGAACCAAAGCTTCCTGGTTTGAGACAATGAAATCACATGTTCCAATTATGCTTTCAGAACTTCAGAAAATTAGCCCCCAGCTTTTTGTGCCTCTTTTGATGCCATCGATTTGTTTGGGGCGATTGCCCCATTTCTGGACTCCCAACGCTTGGAGGCCTGATGCAAAGTCCAAACGCCCAACGTCGGCAGTAAGGCCTTTGTCCGCAAGGCCGACTGGGAAAAAACAAATTGGAGGCCATCTCTGTTAGATTGTAGGCCATCGCTTCTAGGTTGGAGGCCATCATCTTTCATAGGTGTGAGGCCATTGCTTCTAGGTTGGAGGCCATTTCTATTAGGTTGGAGGCAATCCCTTCTGAGGCCGTCGCTTCTAGGTTGGAGGCCATCGCTATTAGGTTGGAGGCCATCGCTATCAGCTTGGAGGCCATCGCTATCTGATTG